TAAGCCATGATACTATAATAGTCTTAGTGGAAAAGTAGGCATTAAATTTCAGATATCCCACACAGCAATATTTTTGCTGATATATCTCCTAGGGCATGGGAAGTAAAGGACAAGATAAATATACAGGACTGCATCAAATTAAAAAGCTTCTGCATGGCTAAAGAAACAATCATCAAACTGAAAAGGGAACTGAATACATGGGAGAACATATTTTCCAGTGATGCCTCAGACAAGGGTTTGATCTTCAAAATATATAAAGAACTCATATGACTCAACACCAGAAAGACAAATAATCCATTTAAAAAATGGGCAAAGGACCTGAATACACACTTCTCCAAAAAAAACCCATATATGGCCCATAGACATATGAAAGGATGCTCAACATTACTATCCCAGAGAGCTGAAAATTAAAACCACAATGAGGTATTACCTCACACCTGTCAGAATGACCATCATTAATAAATCAACAATGACAAGTGCTGGTGAGGATGCAAAGAAAAGGATACCCTAGTGCACTGTTGGTGGGGATATAGACTGGTGCAGCTACTGTGGAAAACGATGTGGAATTTCCTCAAAAACTTAGAAATGGAACTGCCTTTTGACCCAGTGATTCCACTCCTGGGAATGTACCCTAAGAATCTAAAAAACACCAATTAAAAACAACTTAAGCACCCCTACGTTCATAGTAGTGCTATTTACAACAGCCATGTGTTGGAAACAGCCTAAGTGCCCATCAGTAGATGAATGGATTAAAAAACTATGGTACATTTACACAATGAAATACTATGCATCTCAAAGAAAGAAGAAGGAATTCCTACCCTTTGTGAGAGCCTGGATGAAACTGGAGACTACTATGCTAAGGGAATTAAGACAGTTGGTAAAAGACAAATACCATACAATCTCACTTGTAAGAGGAAACTAATGAACAAAATAAGCTAATGAGTAAAACAGAAGCAAAGGCATAGAACAGGGAACAGACTGACAGCTTCCAGAAGAAATGGGGTGGGGTGGACAGAAGGGGAAGGGACTCATTAAAGAACATGTATGAATGACCCATGGACACAGACAAGAGTAGTGGGATGGACTGGTCAGAAGCAGGGGTTGGGGCAGTTGGAGGAGGACTAAGGGGAAACATTGGGACAACTGTAATAGAACAAAGAAGAATTTAAAAAAGTTAAAGTTCTTTTTTGGACATGGTTGACTTGAATGTCAATTGGGCATTTAAGTAGATATGTGTATCTATAATAATTCAGGACAGAAGTATGCTTATCATGAAGAGAAGCTGCATGTGGTTGCGTGCAATCTTTCTGCACTCTTTTTGCAACTTATTTTAAAGTAAAAGAAATTTAAATATATACATATACATACATATACATATACATATACATATACATATACATATACTTGAATCTCTTACCTTAGGTTATGACCTTCTTTTTATAAATTACTTTATTGTTGTTCAATTACAGTTGTCTGCATTTTCTCCCCACCCATCCCCCCTACCCCAGAGGGAGTAGGGGAACTACTCCCTCCCTTGGTTCCACCCTCCCCCTTGGTTTTGTCCATGTGTCCTTTATAGTAGTTCCTGAAGACCCTTCTCCCCAGTGTCTCCTCCCCACTCCCCTCTGGCTATTATTAGATTGTTCTTAATTTCAATATCTCTGGTTATATTTTGTTTGATTTTTTCTTTTGTTGATTACGTTCCAGTTAAAGGTGAGATCAGATGGTATTTGTTTCTCACTGCCTGGCTTATTTTGCTTAGCGTAATGCTCTCCATTTCCATCCATGCTGTCGCACAGGGTATAAGCTCCTTCTTTCTCTCTGCTGTGTAGAAATCCTTTGTGTAAATGTACCATAGTTTCTTGATCCGCTCATTTGCTGATGGGCACTTAGGTTGTTTCCAGCACTTGCCTATTGTAAATTGTGCTGTTATGAACACTGGGGTGCATAGGTTCTTTTGGATTGATGTTTCAGGGTATAATCCCAGCAGTGGAATTGCTGGGTCAAAAGGCAGTTCTGTTTTTAGTTTTCAGAGAAAATTCCATACTGTTTTCCACAGCATATGCACCACTCTGCATTCCCACCAACAGTGCACTAGGGTTCCCATTTCTCTGCATCCGCTCCAACACTTGTTTGTTGATTTGCTTATGATGGCCATTCTGACTGGTGTGAGATGATATCTCATTGTGGTTTTAATTTGCATCTCTCTACTGGCTAGTGATGCTGAGCATCTTTTCATATGTCTCTGGGCATTCTGTATGTCCTCCTTGGAGGAGTGTCTGTTCAAGTCTTTTGCCCATTTTTTAATTATTTTTTTTTAATCTTCTTGGAGTGGAGTTGTGTGAGTTCTTTATATATTTGGGAGATCAAACCCTTGTCTGAGGTATCATTGGCAAATATATTTTCTCATATAGTTGGTTCTCTTTTCATTTTAATGCTGTTCTCTTTAGCCATGCAGAAGCTTTTTAATTTGATGAGGTCCCATTTGTTTGTTCTTTCCTTTATGTCCCTTGCTTTAGGAGACATATCAGTGGAGATGTTGCTGCATGGAATGTTTGAGATTTTCCTGCCAATGTTTTCCTCTAGGACTTTTATGGTGTCACGGCTTATATTTAAGTCTTTTTTTCCACCTTGAATTCATTTTTGTGTATGGTGTAAGTTGGTGATCGAGTTTCATTTTTTTGCATGTAGCTGTCCAGATCTCCCACCACCATTTGTTGAAGAGGCTATTTTTACTCCGTTTTATGCTTCTTCCCCCTTTGTCAAATGTTAATTGACCATAGAGACTTGCGTTCATTTCTGGGCTTTCTCTTTTGTTCCACTGATCTATGTGCCTATTTTTATGCCAGTACCAGACTATTTTGATTACAGTGGCCTTATAATACAGTTTGATATCAAGTATTGTGATCCCTCCTACTTTGTTTTTCTTTCTCAAAATTGCTGCAGCTACTCAAGGTTGTTTATGGTTTCATATAAATTTCTGAAATGTTTGTTCTATATCTATGAAATGTGAGATTATGACCTTCTTTAGTTATCCCCATAGGACTCCATACTTCCATGAAAATAGGAGGCAAAGTGGATATCTTTGTAAATATGCCAAACTTATGAGATCTTGATTACGTTCTTCATTTATTAATGCTGCAAACTTTTAATACATTGGCAGTTTTCTTTATATTTGAGTGCTTAAACTTTTCATTCAAGCAGAATGTACGCATATTTAATGTACCCAAAAGATGAAGTGTGTGGTAATTTGTTACACTGAAAAGCAGTAGTAAGACAGTTTGGCAAATACAGAATATTGCAAGCATCTTAGGAAGACAAATATGTTAAATATATGAAAATTATAGGTAGTTCTGTGATATTTATTGACAACTTGTAATTGCTGGACACTATTAAAACACATGATTATAGCATTATTTTATTAAGTAATAAAATGCTCATTATTTTGAAAACATACATTATTATTTCTCTTTTCTGAAAATGAAATTTTGCATTTGTTACATGATTTTTTGATTATTTATTTGTTAACATTATTTCTGTGTTTGTTTTTCTTAATACTGCAATAGTGGAATACAGATGTAAAGTTTGTGATTACCTCTATTTTTTTTTTAAATAAAGGCTTAAAGATACAGTTGAGAATGTCAGCACGATATTCTTCTTATTTAGTTTTTAACAAAAGATCATCTATCTTGAAAATTATCTGCACTGACATCAAAATTCCTAAGTAAGCAGAAAACTGGCTAAATATTTATAAAGTTATAGCTTCCCATTGTAAAATTATAATTTGTTGTACTCAGAGAACAAGAACAAGAATTTGTTCTTGAAAGAAACAAATGATTTTCTGAAAGTATGTTAAGGATCTTAAGTTGCTTCCCTACCTTGTTTTTATATCACTTCCATCAGAAGGGATTTGTTTGGTGAAACAGCAAAGTGAAACAGCCCATACTTTGTTTAGAGAAGTCATTATATTTAAAGGCTTGGAGGATGGACAATGGAAATGATCCTCATCTAATATTCTACTAAATTGTCAAGTGCTTATGTAATGTACATTCCTATAAACATTGTGTTTACTGAGTGTTAAGGTAAATAAAGTACTGCCCTGGTTCAAAAAAGCTTAGTGCTAACAAGGAGGTGAAATCAAAGGTACAGGACAGGGTCGGGTTGTGTGCAGTTGCGGGTATGTTTGATTTGGGGTGAACTCAACTGCTTTTCAAAGTCTGTGAGCATGAGTGGCCTGACCAGCTGTGAAGAGAGAAGGCTTGGTAATTTATGGATTGAGCAAGGAGGTCATAGTCAGGGGCATTACAAAACCCTCTCCCACTAGTGGGCTCCTATATGTAAATACACTGGTCTGCAAGCTGGCTTTACTCTGAATTAAAATGATGGAATCAAAAAATTTACAACACTCATGTACTGACATGGATTTACTAACTTGAATTTTTAGGTACTCCCAAAGTTTTATTTTAGCTGTTAATTCCAACCGTGTTTCTCCTCAGAACCTTCTAAAAATGGACCACTTTAATCTGTTTCCATTCCCTATATTTCTTGTGCTCTGTCAACAATATTTATAAGTAGGGAAGTATTCCGAAAGCTGGAAGGTGCAAGCAGTGAGAAAGAGTGTATGTTTCTGAAATGGATCATCAATCCCTGGAAAATTCAAATTGACTAGGCTTCCTTCAGTAGTCAAGGCTGGAGGACAACTTAAGTTGTAAGGTTAGAATTCCTTAGGTAAATTATAATTTCAGGTCATTAATTCTTCACAAAAATCTGTTAGCCATTCTCATGTTTTACCACATTGACAAGAGTGTTGCATGCTCATAAAATTATGTTTCTCTTACTGAATGAATATCAGATTCCAGGCACTCTCTTCTCAGGGGTTAACATGCATTAACCCCTCAAGTTTATAAAGATATGTGTCACATTATTCATTGGTTGGACGAATATTCATATTTTTTTTACTTGTGATATTTGTTTCATTTTTATCATTTCTTCTCTTTCAGCTCTCCTTTATGCAACTATTTTTGGAAATGTTACCACAATTTTCCAGCAAATGTATGCCAACACCAACCGATACCATGAGATGCTGAATAATGTACGGGACTTCCTGAAACTCTATCAGGTCCCCAAAGGCCTTAGTGAACGAGTCATGGATTATATTGTCTCAACATGGTCCATGTCTAAAGGCATCGACACAGAGAAGGTATGGGTAATTGTTGTTGCTACTTATTTTCTACTTCAATCGGATCTTCAGAGGCCTGTAGTTTTCCCACTCACATATTTATTGCTTGTGTAATTGCTTCATAAATGCTACTCTATTTCAGAAGTAACATATTAATCAATCATATTATTGAGTGCTTAGAAGGTGCAAAACACTCAGCCATTAATCATCAATTAGTACTAGTCATCACACTTAATTTAGAAATTGTGGTTCCTGAAAACAGCTAATTATTACATTTCCATAAAACACTCTTATTACCACTCAGAGTTATTTCCTGCATTCCTCCAAAACTCTAATGGTGCTGCCATTTCTCCTGGTTGATTTTATTCCTTTGACTTTTTGCCCATTTTAAATTTAGAAAGCAACTTCCTTGCTTATAAACGGAAAAATTATGTTTGCTATCCTCCACTTAAATCTCTCCCCTTACTCTCACATGTTTATAAAACAACTTATAGTTCTTAGTTTTCCCAATACAAATCTATTAAATAGATATCATCCTCCCCATTCATTTGATATCTCTAATTTCTTGCTTGTATTTTCATGGAACCTTAAAATTTTTTTCCCATTTATCTTGTATTAGGGGCAAAGAAGGAACTGAAGGTCTCCTCACAATAAACAAAACCAAATTTAAAACATTTTTCACTTCTGCCTTTCTCAGTGGGTTGGGCATCATCCTGCAAACTGAAAGGTCACTGGTTCGATTCCCAGTCAGGGTACATGCCTGGGTTGTGGGCCAGGTCCCCAGTTGGGGGCATGCGAGAGGCAACCAATTGATGTTTCTCTTGCACATTGATGTTTCTCTCCCTCCATTTCTCCCTCCCCTCTCCTCTATCTAAAAGTAAATAAAAACAAAATCTAAAAAATATTTCCACCTCTTGCACCCAACTGATGCACACAAGAGTTTTGGAGGAAACTGATTGTGAGCCATGTTACTTTGTGACAGCAGTGGAGACTTTTATTTTTAGGTACTGATTTTTGACAGATGATAGTAATATAGTACATGGCTTTCCTTGCCATTTCCCACAAATTTGATTTGTTCTCTTAATTGTATGAGGTTGACTTGTAGTTTTTCTTTAAGACTTGCTCAACAAGCACCTTTCAAAGTTAGTGGGAAGAGCAAATGAGTAAAGTAGGTGTTTAATTAGGGGAATTTCATGAAACCACAAGCAGGCAGTGTTTTAAGCCAGAGCAGGCATTGCTGGGAGCAGAGGGTCGAGGGGACGTGTAGAGAATGAACAAAGAAGGTGAAAATGGAGGGGGAGCAGTCTCAGAGGGTGTGTGGGTCATATACTCAAGGTCAGCTATGTGGGAGGGTAGTGAAGAAGGTGAGATGTGCTCCCCTTAAACATTTTACAACATGCGTATAAATTTTCTAGTTAAATGGCCACTTAAAGTGACCACAGAGGAGAAAAGGACAAAGTGCATTTCCATGGAATTTGATTAATATGTAAATAGGCCAATAAGTGGTTAGTAGGGAGGGTATGCAAAGAAAGAACAAAATCTTCCTCAGAGGGGCAGGTGTGAGTCAGTATTTAAAACTTAAATGCATGATGTCCTTTGAGGTCCACATTCAGGAAACTGAGATCAAGAAGCAATTATCTATCTTGCCCATCAGCATCTCAGGTAGAATCTTTACATTCCAGAAAATACAATGGGGTCACATGGTAGCTGACAGAAATATCAGTAAAATGATGGGATGATGGCCTTTTACATGAGAAAAGAGCTGGACTTGTAGCCTGTGCTACTTCTGGTGGACCTGCTCAACTCCCTGCTTCGTGACATCGTTAGGGTGTGAGGCACTGGCACGGGGTATTGGTGTGGCACGTGCCACGCAGCAGGAAATGATTTCTGGGTTCCTATTATTTACCACAATTTTTTGGTGTTCTAATGTGTACTTCTGATTAGTTGAGTATTCACTTGAATAAAAGGAAAAAGTAGGTGGAAAGGCTAATATTAAAAGTGAAATAAAATTTTAATTCAAAAGAAAATATTTTTAAAGAAATAAAGATAGCCCTGGCTGGTGTAGCTCAGTGGATTGAGCGCATACTGTGAACCAAAGTGTCGCAGGTTCAATTCCCAGTCAGGGCACATGCCTGGGTTGCAGGCCATGACTCCCAGCAACTGCACATTGATCTTTCTCTCTCTCTTTCTCCCTCCCTTCCCTCTCTAAAAATAAATAAATAAAATCTTAAAAAAAAGAAATAAGGATAAATATAAAAATGAATTAGCTTTTGGGAAGAAATCATGGTTGTGCCTTCTAAGTGAATGGGAAATCTTTGGGTAGTTATTAGCTAATAGAAGAAGCAGATTTAAATAACTGGTAAATATAAAAGTTTTGTTGTACATGTATAAAACATGTCTAAATTTAATTTGTTGTGTCAGCAAACTCCCAGGCCTATGTTAATTTCTTCCAGCCTATTCAGAAAATTCCTACCCAGATGCATAAGAACTAACCACAACAGCAATGTAAGTGAAGACACACAGGCCAAAGTCTGGGCCTGGGAAGGGGGTATAGGAGATTTCCACTGATTGCATAGGCAATGAGGGTGAATTTAAAAATGTATTCTTAGACTATATATTAAATGCTATACCAAAAAAGAAGAAAAAAAAATAGGCATCTAGTCTCTGGTTTAGTAGTGAGCCTAACAACCAGGGAGAAGACTTACATTCCTGTGAGGCATTCAGTTATATGACTAATGAATAGTATATGAGGTCTGTCTGGAAAAAGTCTAACCATTGTTAAAATAAAGAGAACAGTTTGTGTGAATCGATGTAGACTAGAATTCGCATGAGTGAATGATAATGACTTTATTGTACCAGTCAGTGAAGGTGATAGATGCCATTGAGTGAGCATGTGTACTGTGTAGCCATTGCATTCAGAATGACGGAGCGAGTGGCACAATGAGTCTGCATCCAATTTTGCGTTAAGCTTGAAAATTCCTCCTTGAAACTATTCGATGATTCAGAAGGCAACAACTATGGGCAACTGGTGATTGGCAGCTTCATCATGACAACTTGCTCACTCATGCATCTCATCTCATGCAGAATTTTTTGGCAAAACATCAACTCACCCAGGTGACTCAGCCCCACTACAGCCCAGATTTGGCTCCCAGTGAATTATGGCTTTTCCCAAAACTATAATCACTTTTGGAAAGGGAAGAAATTTCAGACCATCAATGAGATTTAGGAAAATACTACAGGGCAGCTGATGGTGATTGGAAGAACTGTGTGAGGTCCCAAGGTGCCTGCCTACTATGAGGGCGACTGAGGCATCATTGTCCTATGTACAGTGTTTCTTGTATCTTATGTCTTCTTCAATAAATGTCTCTGTTTTTCATATGACATGGATGGATGCGTTCTGGACAGGCCTTGTATAAAACATATAACTTTAAAATATTATAACAAAGTAGTGAGGTATATATGCAAGAATTAGTAACCAAAAGAAAGAGAGGGAATAGATATCTCAGAACTAGACTTTACTATGGATAAGAACTAAATATAAGTGAAAGGACACACTGCAAAGACAAAATTGATATATTATTCAATATAATTATAATGAGCTAAAAATCTAAGAAAATGTTTAATGAGAATCTGTCTATATGACAACATAAATATCAGAAGAACAAATGAGTTAAATGTAAAAAATAACAAATTATAAAGTATTAGAAGAAAACACATAAATATTTTTTTAATCATTGTTCAAATACAGTTTTCTCCTTTTTACTCCCAATCCAGTCCCCCCTCCCACCCTTCCCACTTCCCTCCCATTACCACCCTCCCCTTAGTTTATGACCATGTGTCCTTTAAGTTTGTTCCTGTGAACCCTTCCCACTGTCCCCTTAAATTCCCTCTTCTCTCCCCTCCAGTCACCGTCAGCCTGTCCTCTATTTCAGTGTCTTTGGTTATATTTCGCTTGTTTCTTTGTTTTGTTATTTAGGTTCCTGTTAAAGGTGAGATCATGTGGTATTTATCTTTCACTGCCTGGCTTGTTTCGCTTAGCATAATGTTTTCCAGCTCCATCCACGCTGTTGCAAAGGGTAGGAGCTCCTTCTTTCTTTCTGCTGCATAGAATTCCATTGTGTAAATGTACCATGATTTTTTGATCCATTCATTTACTGATGGGCATCTTGGTTGCTTCCAGCATCTAGCTATTGTAAATTGTGCTGCTATGAACATTGGGATGCATAGGTTCTTTTGAATTGGTGTTTTAGTGTTCTTAGGATAGAGTCCCAGCAGTGGAATCGCAGGGTCAAAAGGCAGATCCATTTTTAGTTTTCTGAGGAAGTTCCATACTGCTTTCCATAGTGGTTGTACCAGTCTGCAGTCCCACCAGCAGTGCACTAGGGTCCCCTTTTCTCCACAACCTCTCCAACACTTGTTGTTTGTTGCTTTGTTTATGATGGCCATTCTGACTGGTGTGAAGTGGTATCTCATTGTGGTTTTAATTTGCATCTCTCTGATAGCTAGCGATATTGAACATCGTTTCATGTGTCTTTGGATTTTCTGTATGTCCTCCTTGGAGAAGTGTCTGTTCAAGTCCTTTGCCCACTTTTTAATTGGATTCCTTGTCTTCTTGGAGTGCAGTCTTGTAAGTTCTTTATATATTTTGGAGATTAAACCCTTGTCTGAGGTATCATTGGCAAATATGTTTTCCCATACAGTTGGTTCTCTTTTAATTTTGATACTGTTTTCTTTAGCTGTGCAGAAGCTTTTAATTTTGATGAGGTCCCATTTGTTTATTCTTTCCTTTATGTCCCTTGCTCTAGGGGACACGTCAGTAAAAAAGTTTCTTCGTGAAATATCTGAGATTTTCCTACCTACCTTCTCCTCTAGGACTTTAATGGTGTCACGTTTTATATTTAAGTCTTTTATCCACCTTGGATTTATTTTTGTATATGGTGTAAGTTGGTGCTCAAGTTTCATTTTTTTGCACGTGGCTGTCCAGTTCTCCCAACACCATTTATTGAAGAGGCTATTTTTAT